AAAAAAAAAAAAAAGAGAAGCAAGGAGAGGGGGAGAAGGTGGGGTGTGGAGACCTCCTCCTCCCTCAGGCTACCACAGTGTTGGCTCTTCCTGTGGCTGGGACACAGATGTCTACACTTTTGGGAAACCACTGGGCAGGAGGATGTGCGTATAGCAGAGAGCAGGGATGGTGAGGCCAGCTGGTGCTCTCCTCCCCCTCCACATGTCTACCAGCAGGAGGAGGGATGTGGGGTATTTCCAGGCCTCCTAGGAGGAGAGGAGAGAATCTCCTAGATGCTTTGGAGACAAGGGCAAGAGAAAGAGTAACACTAGTTATGAGCCTTTCACTCTCTCAGAGAGAAAAAGGCTGAAAATGGCTTTTGGCCTTGAGCCAGAAAAGTTATGCAGCATGGGAGGCAGCTGGACATCTTGGAGATCCTGGGGGGGTCTTACAACACACACAGCATAGGGAAGGAGAAGGCACATAGGCCTGAAGGCATCACACAGCTGAGCATGGCAGGAACCAGGCCAACCCTGCAGGAGTGGAACCGTCCCTGGGTGTAATGTCTGCTGTGGCAGTGTGATTTGGCAGGAATGGGTGGAAGCTGTTATTTCCCCACAGTGCTGAGGAGTCCAGGGCCTCAGTGGAGGATGCGGAGCCATCTCTTGGTGTCCTGCACCCTCTGTGTGCCTCTGCTAGATGAGAATTCGGACCAGAAAGGAGACAGCAGCTCCTAGAGCCAAGCCCAGTGACAGGAAAAACGCCATGACAGCTCCAGCTGTCTCTGCTTCGTGCACAAGCACTTTCCTAGGGGAAAAACAGGTATCAGATCCATACTCAAGATGCGTGTCCAGTGCCCTGCTGTTCAGTGGACCTGGGAAGCTTGTCTGCAGCAGAGGAGTGGCAAGAAGAAATCCCCCTTGGCTTCCAGAGCCACAAGAGCTCCAAGTCTCCATACTGTTGGTTCATAAAGTGCATCAGACAGGCCACCCTGAAGCTCCTGGCACCAGGGACATCCCTCTTTGACTCCTGTGGGGCTCCTTGTGCTGCCTGTGCTGGGGCAAGGCTGCTCACCCTACTGTGGGTGCTTTGCCATGCTTTGCTCCCCTCCAGATCCCCGCTGCATCCAGCCCCTTCCCAATGTGGCAGGTGGGGAAAATGGATAGCCCAGATAGCTTCCTCATCCCTAGGATTGGAGGCACAAGCCTGGGAGATGGGACACTGTGGATAGCGACGATTCCCTTCTGTGCCTGCGGCCTCTTCTCCCGATGCCAGTGCTGGGCAGAGCTAGATTCCACAAATCATTCCAGGGTTGGCATCTGGGGGCATAACCAACCCTTCCCTTGTCCCCAGCTCACACTCACTTTGGCCCGAAGCACATGCAAAGGCTGGCCAGGTAGCCATTGGAGATGGAGAAGAAGATCATGAAGACGATGTACCAGGCATCATGAGAGAACACAACAGGCAGGTAGTAACGGGGTGTCACGTTGCACAGCATGAAAAGAGGGACAAAGATGACACGGAGGACCACCATCACTGGCAGGAGGCAGCTGTCCATCCCGGGCTAGGAGAAAAACACAGATCACTGAGCCACTGAGAACTGGACATTCCCCATCCCATGGCATGCTGGCAGAGGCTCTACAGAGGCTGTCCCTACTGCGCCAGGGCTGTAGAGGACCCACAGAGATGGCAAAGCTGCTGAGAGACTTCCTCGGTTTCAACAAATCTCAGCATCACCATCTGCAGTCATAAGTAGGTTCTAGGTCTGAAAGCCCTGTCACAGGTGACTTGAAGCAGCACTAGAGCCAAAATACTGAGCCAGGCTTGTGGGCAACTGTTAAGCCCTTGCTGGCAATAGACAGGCAGGCAAGAGAGCTTTGTGCACGCTCATGCAGTGAGCCAGCATGCAGAACATGGGTGGCTGAGGTAAATCCCCTCTGGCACCTCAGTGGTGCCAGACTGGGCTTTAGCCAGCTCTTCACCATCCTACGCCATCCTCCAACAAGCAGGGCAAGATCCAGAAATCTGAGAAAGGGATTATGCTGAGCTTGTTTTGGAATGTGCTGGGAAAAGCATGGACCAAGTTACAGTCTCCTTAGATCCTACTAGAGTTCCTGAGCAATTAAGGCTGGGACAAAGAAGGAGGTACCATCCCCCTGTGTTGTCCCTGCAGCTGGGACTATGGCAGCCCCTGGACCGAGACAGGCCTCATCCCCTCAGTGAGGTGCCAGGTTCACAAATGACAGGGTCCACTGGTCTGAGGCAAGGAGAGACCCACAGCTGTCTTGGGAGCTGCTGGGCTGGCATGACCACAGGAAACTCCATGAACACAGGAGGAAACTGAGGTTAGGCCAGCTGCCGTGTCTATGGGGCAAACTGGAGACAGCAGCTGCCTCTCCTACTTGAGGAGCACAAGAGTGAGCGGGGCCCCAACCAGGGAAATGTGGCCCAAACCACATGCAGTCAGACTTTCCACGCTGCCTTGTTTTGGAAACATCTCCTGCTGGGTCATCCCATCATGGAGGCTGTGGCCTGAACAACAGACAAGGCGGCTCATGGCCAAGACTGAAGGCAACAAGCAGTGATGGCCAGCGGAGAAGCAGCTCCAGGCCGTGGGGAAGGCAGGCCCAGGCAGACCCCATGCAGCATGTGGTCCTGAGGAGCTTCTCTAAACAAACAGCCTGAACAATACAGGGGGAAACAGTGTTTGGGCAGTGGGTGAAGAGGCAGGAAGAGACCCAGACAAGAAAGCCCCTTTCCTTGCCCATCCTGGGGAGATAAGAGCAAGGGGATGTGGCAGGGGACAGTACTGTGATCCACATGGCATGGCCCTGCCCTGCTCTCAGGACAAGGGTCTTTGAAGCAGCTGTGTCCTGTGCCAAGGCCAGAAGTTTATTTTGGGCTGCCCTGTCTTTCACCCTCTTTCCCTGTCGCCATCCTGTCTCGTCGTTTGCATAGCTGGAGTGAAGGTTTATTTACAGAGAAGCTAAAATGGAGGAGGCAGCTTCATCCAAGCCATGTTGAAAGAGAGGTGGGAGGACAGGACAACACTGTGGTTTTCGGCTCTGACCCATAATCTGCGCTTAGAACTTAAAGCAGGAGTTATCTCTGCACCTCCTTCCTTATCCAAGCCATGGATAGCAGCCCCAGTGACAGCTGTGGCTGAAAGAGCTAAGGATAGACACTGCCTGGCATCTGCTCCCTGCCCCATACTTACCCATGTGAAGAGGGCAGTGAGACTCCGTCCTGTCCAGTCAAAGACGTTAAAGAGCAGGAAGCAGGAGACAGGAATGAAGTAGAGACCTGAAGAAGGGGATGGTCAGTGAGAATCCAAGTGTGTTCCAGTCCTTCATACCCACTGCCCAGAGATTGACTGTCTTTCAGGTCTAGTTTCCCACTAAGGCCTGGAATGGTCTCCCAGCCGGGCTGGCGTCCACATCCAAACGCACAGTGGTTCCCTCTTTCCTTCCAGCATTCTGTATTGGGTTTGTGTGGCAAGGTTTCAGTAACAGGGTGGGCTACAGGACAGCTTCTGAGAGAAGCTGCTAGAAGCACTCCTAAGTCTAACAGAGCTAATGTCAGATGGCTCCAAGACAGATCCACCACTGGCGAAGGCCACCAGTGATAGCGGTAGGGCCTATGGGATGACATATTAAAAAGGGGAAAAAAAATCGCAACATGTGCAATTGCACCCAGAGAGAGAAGTGAGAATATGTGACAAAAACAGCTCTGCAGACACCAAAACCAGTGGAAAAGGAGGGGGAGAAGGCACTCCAGATGTCAGAGTAAAAATTCCCCTACAGCATGCAGTGAAGACCATGGTGAGGCAGACTGCCCTCCTGAAGCTCAAGGAGGTCCACAGTGAGTCAATATCCACCTACTGCCTGTGAAGACTACCCTACTGTGAAGCAGGTTTGCCAGCAGGATTTACGACCCTGCAGGAGACCCACACTGGAACAGTCTGTTTCTGCAGGACTGTGTCCCATGGAAGGGACCCAGGCTGAAGCAGTTCATGAAAAACTGCAGCCTGTGGGAAGCACTCACATTGGACTTCAAGGAGGACTGCCTCCCATGAGAGGGTCCCAATGCTGGAGGAGGGAAAGAGTAGGAAGTGTTCTCCCCCTGAGAAAGAAGCAGTGGCAGAGGAAATGTGTGAAGAACTGACTGCAACCCTCATTCCCCAACCTCCTGCACTACTGCAGAGGGAAGAGATAAAGAAATTGTAAATAAACTTAAGCCTGGGAAGAAGGGAGGGGTGAGTAGAAGTTGTTTAATGATTCAATTTTTATTTCTTATTATACTACTGTGATTTGACTGGTAAATAAATTAAATTAATTTTCCCCACGTTGAGTCTGTTTTGCCTGTGACAGTAATTAATGAGTGATCTCTCACTGTCCTTATCTCAACCCAAAAGCCTTTTGTCACATTTTATCTCTCCTGTCCAGCTGGAGTGGCTTTGGTGTGCACCTGGCATCCAGACAGGGTTACCCCACCATACATACCCTCAAGCCCCACCTTCTTTTCTCCCATTTACCTTGTTCTCAGGTTTTTCCTACCTCACCTCCATCCCTGGCACACTTACCCCATTTATTTCCCTCTCCAAGGACAGTGGACACTTTAGCTGTGATGGCAGGGAAGACGCCAATGGTGACAGTGAAGACGAAGCAGACAGACAGAGCCAAGACCCAGAGCTAGGCAGATGAAAGAAAAATGCTGGTACCAAACACAGGACAAGAGACCAGTGCAGGGCTGGTCTCCTCTCCCCATGCTCTCCTACACCTGTGCCCATCCCGAAAGGAAGGGCAGGACAAGGCTTGCTGAAACTCACAGACCTTCTTAAAAATAGCAATGACAGAGGGCTGCTCATCAGGGTTGTGGACAGGGATGATCTTTGAGTTATTCTGCTCCATCCCGTTCTCGTCTGCAGGGAGAGACACAAGTAGGGCATAGCAGACCCCAAAAAGCCAAGATCTAACTCAGTCCTTCTATCTCATTCTTTCTTTAAGCTCTTTCTCTTTCCCTTTTCCTTCTCTCAGCCCCTCACCTTTCTTAATCAGGTCTCTCTTGGTTTCCAGCTCTGCATTGTACACGTGGTACTCTGTCTTGTCCTTCATGGAGTAGTATCGGAAGAAATCCTGCAGAGAGACAGCAGGGAGGAGTCATCCATGCGTGCAGAAAGAAGGCTGCCAGGGGCTGTGTGACAACGGCAGATATGGGCAAAGTATTCCTTCCAATTATGTCCAATACTGATGCTTTCCTGCTTACCCAGGGACTCAGATATCCCAAATATACAGGTATCTGTGGTGGGAAGTATCCCAGAGTGCTCCCTTGGGACACAGGAGAACCTGCCCTGACACAAGAGGTGGAAGCTGCTAGTGGGCCATGGTTCTTGCATTGGGATGTGCCAAGGTCCGATGTCCCCAAGCCCTTCCCTACCAGGACAGCAGTCTCACCATGTGAGGCAGAACTACATAGGAGACGATTGCCAGCACGATCGTCACACAGGCGGTGGTGAAGTAACCGATGAAGCTCTCGGGTTGCTGGGCACCAACTGATAGCACAGGAAGGGAGAGGAAAGGAAGATGATGGCAGCTGAGAGGAGCAAGGCCCCGCTACCATCTTCCACACAGCATGACCTCGGCAGATGCTGTGACAGCAGTGATCTGGGAAGGCCCTGTCATGTGCAAGGCAGGGATTACTCACTGGCAATACTGAAGATCATTGCCAAAGCAGCGAAGGTGCCTGCCAAGCCCTGCCCGCTCATGATGGGGGCTGTGTAGCTGACAGGCAGGAGCCCTGCCAGCCCAAACAGGCTGCTCTGGAGAATGGCACCGAAGGCTGCAAAGGGGAAAGAGGAGCAGAAATGAGAAAGCAAAGACAAGGATGGACTGCACCTCTGCAGGGAGCCAAGACCCCTGCCCTGCTAAGTTAGGCAAGTCCCCCTCCCCCCTTGCCTCTCCCACAGTGAGGTTCATGCTTTTCTCCCAGAGGGTTCAGCCCTAGCCATTGGACTGTGTCCTTCTCCTTCCCCCACTGCTTCACTCACAGTTGATGAAGACAATGCTGATCATGGTAAAGATGAAGAAGGGAAGAGGGTCCATGGGGACTTTCACCATGATCGCGGTGACTAAAAACACCAGCCCAATCGCCACCAGGCTGCCTGAGATGCGGATCTGCTGGGGAATCCTACAAAAGAAGGTCTCGGTGAGGAAAACTCAACCCCCTAAAAACCTGGGGCTGGGACCAAGCTCTAACCAAGCCAAACCCTCAAACAGGATACCAGTGTTTTGCCTTTGACTTGACCGAATGGGCTGTAGCTTGGTTTAGTGCTGGGACAGGAGAACAGGCCAGGGCTGGGCGGCCCTATGGGGGCTGGCAGGCACAAGGACAGAGCAAGGCTCACCGCTGGTGGATGAAGGAGTTGAGGCAGGTGAAGATAAGGAGGGGCACCATGGCGCAGAGAGTCATGAAGTTGTCAAACACGGACTGCAGGTAGGAGGGTGTGAAGGTGGCCTTGCCAGTCTGGTTCCTGACGTGGCTTGTCTCCTCTGGATCCTTAAGGCGACTGATGAAATACTGCAAAGGAAGGAGCCTGGTGGGGCTGAGATTCTGTGAGGCCTTCCAAGGCCACCCTTATTCTTTTTCCAGACCCATGCCCATCCCTCCTGCTGCCTCAGTGCCACTCGTCACACCCAGGTCACGCATGCTTGTGGTCCTCTGCATGCTGTGCCATGCTGCCACAACTACACCATGGTCCCTAGATATGACGGGGGACAATTGCTGTCATGGACAATAACAGGTAGAAGCCCTCACCTCCCTGGCGGTCATGAAGAAATTCCATGGCAGCAGCGTTCCCAGGCCGAGGATGAAGAAGATCAGCCAGACAGCCTTGTACCTGTGCAGGGGACAGAGTGGGGTTTGGAGCAGAAGTTGTATATTGCTTCTGACTGTCCCTGACCCTGCAGCGGGAAGCACCAGACAATATTGTCCTGCTCCACAGCCCTTGCTAGTCTGGGCTACCAGAGATGTGGCACTGCAGAGGGGCTGTGGGAGGCGCTCCCCAGGAGGCTATAAAGGCAGGGAGAGGCTGGCTGCTCCTCAACATGTGCAGTATCCATCACCAGATCTGGGAGGGGGTTAGGCTCCCCAGGCATGTTTATAGGGGACTGTTTACAGTTCCAGCCCATTTGCTATGGAAAAGCTGAGAAAGAAGGGACAGCTTGGTAGCCCAATTAGCATGCAGGAGAGGGGGTCTCCCAGATGCCAGGTCCTCGTGTGCTGTCTCACCTCCTGGTATCCTGGATGTGCCCCCACAGCTACATCAGAACCATCATTACCTATCTTGGGGCCCGTCTCTTGCTGTCATCTTGTGTGGTGAGAGTCAGCACAGGTCCCAGCAAGTCTTATGGCTGCTCTCCGTCTGGAAAGCAAACAGAAGATTTTATGGGAAAGTGAGAGACACATGCCAGGCAGGAGCAGCACTGGTTTTAACCCCAACCCATGCTGCCAGTAAGCGTTCCACAGTACTGAGAGCCAAACACCAACCCGGAAAATGACAAGAGGACAGTGCAGGAGCTTTGGAAACCTGCAGCTCAGAGTCCTTAAGCCAAGGGGTCGTGACACATTCTGCTGGCCAGGCACAGCAAGCCCTCCCTCCGAAAGGAAACTGCTTTCCTGAGATACCCAGGCTGTTCATGCTGGCTGCCCAGCAGCTTGCAGCAGGCTCTTAAAGGATTTGTGAGCCTAAAGCTCTCTGTCTCCAATCCTGGGCCTGTGAGTGAAGCATGTGCACAGTGGGCTGTGTCTGCCCCCGCTGCCCGCCCCAGCTCCCTCCAATGCCCCAGGCTCGGTGGCACAAAAGACACATTTAATTCAGCCGCCTCTCCGGCCAGAACCAGCAAATCTCCCGTTTTCAATTCCACTTTCCTGGGGCTCTAACAGCCCTTTCCTGGGTCACCTTGAAAAGCCAAGGGCGCCCCTGGCACTGCCGTTCCCTCCCGGGCACCACCGCTCCTTTTTTCCGTCACCACCTGGCCAGCCGCTGCACCGCTCAGGCATCGCTCTGAGAGCCCCAGAGACGAAGCCTCCAGAGCCCCGAGAAGGGACTTTCCCTCCCCGGTCACCCCCTCTTCCCTGGCCAGAGTGGGATTAGCCTCCAGGAGGAACCGCAGGCCTGCCTTGTCCTTTTCCAGTCGGGGCGGCGCAGCATGGGGTGCTCCGGAACTCCTCCCAGGGCTTCACCTGCAGCAGGGCTGCCGGCACCGTGCCCCCGGCAGCCCCGGGACATGCCCCGCGGGCGCCGGCTCCAACGCCGCCCGCAGCATCCCTGCCTGCGCCCCGCCAAGTAGGGCGGAGCGGGCGGAGGAGGAGGAGGAGGCAGCAGCATGCTGGGATCTGTAGTCCCTGCCAGCACCGACACGCACTGAAGGCAGCGCAGCCCGTCCCTGGCGCAGGTGCCTGGGGGGCTCTGCACAGAGCTTGCCTCCTCCTCCAGTGGAATCCTGCAGGCTGGGGATCCTGAGCTAGAATGGAGCCGAAACATAGCTGGTGGGATGTGGAGAGAGATTCTGGAAGCCCCTTGGACTGCTTGGGAAAGACAGAGCAGGATAACAGTATGCCTGCAAAGGATCAAAGGCTTTGCCAACCCGGCAGGTGCCACCCTGTTCATATTGGAGCCATCTGCAGCACCGCTCACCTGTGTTCCCACACCGAGATCTCAGGGGCATGACAGCTCCTACCTTGCCCTTGTAAGCTATTCGGGCTTCCAGAGAAAACATCCCAAAATCCCCTCCTGGCAGCCTGCCAGTGCCTCTGTGGGGAGAAGACATCTTCACGGGGGATTAGCAGAGGGATCTGCAAACACAACTGCCATCCCCTCGCACACAGAGACCCCACTGGGGCCACTGCTTGTCTCCAAGCAAACTGATCTCAACCTAAAACAGGCAAAAGAACCTCAGCTTCCCCCATGGGTCCCCAGCAAGTCCCAACATGCTTCCTCTTGCCAGTCAAGCCACTGATCCCCCTTCCAGCCCCCACCAGGTCACATCGCTGTCCCTAGAAATAGAGGCAGGGACTGACCCCATAGACATACCTGGGAGAGAGGACAGAGCCAGGGTGAGCCCTGTGTTTGGAGTATTTGAAGGCAGTGTGTCCCCCTGCTTCCACACCTCTCGCCCTTGGGGGTGAGTGGCAGGCCCTGGATCAAGTCACAGGCTGGAGCCCTGTGGGTCTAGCGGCACCCGCGGAGGAGGAGAAGAGGTATCGGGTACCAGAGCTGGCACGCAGCCCAGGTCCTGCTGCCCAACCATCCAGGGAGGAGAGGAACAGAAGGCTGCTGAGGAGGAGATGGCAGAAGCTGGTGGTGTTGGGAAGGAGGTGGGGAGGGTCGGGAGTAGGACTCTGGGGGTGCTGGGGCAGGGCGCTCCACCATGCTGCTTTCCCACCACCTCCTGCTTCCGTCCGGAGAGTGCCCACATCCCTGTGTCAGGAGCCCAGCCTCCTTGGCAGGCACTGCCCAGCCGCAGTCCCCTGCCTGTTCTGTTTGTTTTCTGTCTCACTTAGCTAAATGCCTCCTAATTTTTTCCACAAAGAGACGGTGCCTGCCAAGGTCAGCAGTCATTACAGCAGGAAACACTTCCAGCTGCTGGCTGTTACAAAGAACCCTACAACAAACAGAAAAGGTTCTGTAAACCAACACCAGCAACAGGTGGCAACCCTGCTCCCGCTTGGGAAGAGCTGCCCTACCTGATGGGACATGGGAAGAGATGCCACTCTTGCAGCTGGCACAGCACAGCTCCAACTGCCCCCCACAGGAGTCTGCTGATGTTCAGCTCAGCCACCAGTGTGGTGGCTGCACAGGTGGGACACAGGAAATAAGGAGTGATGTAGCACCTTGGCATAAGGACATCCCTTTTCTTCCTGGGCATAGAGCAGTCTGTCTGAACTCCATGGAAGTGATGTGTAAGTAGAAGAAGCAAGGTCACAAAGAGTGGGCTTAACAAACCATAAGCTAGAACATTTGAGCAGGTACAAACAAGAGATGGCACAATTTTAATTGCCCATTCAGGACACTCAAAGACTGTGACAAATGCTGAGTGACACCCTTGGTGGCCATGTGCAGCCCTATTGCCAGCGGAGCCCTGGGAGATGATGGCAGGGCCAGCTGTCACCAAAATTGCTTAATCTCTACAAAAAACCCAAACTGCAGGACAGCCACACCTGCAGGCAGCCATTTGTCACCTGGCTTTGGATACTTCCCTACCTCTCCCTTTCCCCACATTACCTTTTCCTCTGCTCCTGCTGCTTTCACCAAGCGTGAGCACAATGCATGCTTAGTTTCCCGCTTGAGCAATTCCCTGGTGCCATGTAGGCATGCTATAGCACCATGGAATTATACCCAGAAACACCCAATTTTTTAAAAAAAGCCGTTTACACCACACCAAGCGTAGAAATGTCCTGGCGGTCCATAGCCAAGGGGTTACCAGCAAATTCACCAGCAAGCACCTTGTGTCCTCCTGACACCACTTGTCAGGGGATCATTTTGCAGGGATAATGTCAGTACTTCCTCCAAGCATGGCCAAGATGGGACAGGACCAGTTGCCCCACCAGCCTTTCACCCCATCCCCTATGTGTGCTTGCCCACTGGGTGACACCAGAGTTCTCCCACGTGGAAGGCTGATCCAGGGGCCCCTCAAGTTTATCTGCAGGCATGGAACAAGCCTGCAGGTATGCAAGTCACATGAAACCTTGGTGGCCAGGACTCAGCTGGAAGATAGGAAACACAGACTGCCCCTTTAATGAGATTTCATATGCATGCCTGAACTCTGATCATGGTGCTTGTGGGTCCTCCTACCTTGTGCTGGAGTGCAGGGAATTCCACCTCCACCTTCAGGACAGACGCTTGTATTTCACAAGACAGATGAGTGTGCACAGTTGCGCACCACTGCTGTGGTGGTGAGCCAAAAACAAGCCCTCCCAAAACAAGGGCAGGCAGGTGCCTTGAGTCAAAGCAGAGGCTGGTCCAGCTCAAGGGCTGGTCTCTATCAGAGGGCAACAGCAGATTCTAGGAAATAGTAAATGTGTCTTGGTTGTGGAGTAACTGCCCAATTGTTTCCCAGCTTCCAGCCTCCGAGCTGGAAGGGACATGATGTTCTTATGTTTTGTAGCCATGGTGGGTTTCACTTCTGTGAAATCCTGCTTCCCCCTTCAACTCTGGAGCTCCTGAGAGGGGGTAGGAGGTCTCCCCACATATAGGGCCTCACCAGGGCTCCCTTGCCTTCAACATCAAAGGGTGGATGAACATTGGAGTGGCTGCTTTACAGACCTGGATTGTATCCACCCAACAGCACATTTTTCAAACAGAAATTCTAGCTCACTTAGTCATTCAGGCATAGCTCCATGCCTTCAAGTCCTCCTTGTTGCTTTTCTCCAAATCTTCCCTGGCTCCTCCCGATCCTTAAAGAGATGCTGGTGCTGGGGGCACAGAGAGACTGTGGGGGTGAGACACCAATTTGAAGAATGGCACAAAGCTTTCCTGCTTTGTTTCTGCTTTGTAACTGGGAAAGATAATTCAGTGTGTGTTTTCATGCACACTGAGCTATGTGAAATAGCCCCCGGCTTTGCTTTGCTGTGAGTGGCCAGCTCATGGCTGGCTCAGTGCATAATCTTGTTTGTGGATTTGGGCTTCTTCCCTTCCCCCCTTGTCTATCACTTGATATTTATCTAAACTGAATTTCAGTTGCCTGGTGTAATGGTTATCAGTGCTCCTCCTAGCTGGCACTTGTCCCCATGAACCTGAGTAATCCAATCACCTCAGCAAAGCCCTGTCATCTCATTGCTCATTCTCTTTTCCAGGTCACTCATAAATGTGTTGAAAAAACATGTGACAAATGCAAAGATCTCTTTTCTCTGGAAAAACTGACTGCTGACTCCTACATACTCCCTCCTGTTTTCATACTAGTTATGGAGCCGAGTAAGGACTTTCCCTCTTGACCAACAAGCTCCCTTAAAAAACTGGGCTGAAAGCTGACTGGGATTTTTTGAAGGAAGCAGTGTGGGCACTCTGAGCCCTGACTCCCTAGGAAGTGCTCCTCCAGTCCTGAGGGCCCTTCCATAGGAGCCTCCCCACCTGCCACAGGCCCTGTCCCTGCAGACACTTAGGACATTCAGCAGATTCAGAAGTCGGTTTTTCCCTGAAGTTCCTTCAGCCCTTCTTAGAAAATAACGTCATATCTTTCCCTCCATCCAGTCCCTGGGGGCTGGAGCAGTTGCAAATGAATGACTAGAGGTCACAGTCA